TCATGTTTTACTCCCTCAAAAAACTCTCATCAAATAACACTGTTCATGCCAGATTCCTCATCAAATAACAACTCAACTTCCTCTCCAAACCTCACGCTACAGTGAGCTCCTTACGCCTCCAAGAGGAAGATGATGATGAACAATTACAGAGAGAAAGAGAAGAAAACCTGAAACTAACTTTTCAACTTAAATTATCAAATTATAAATCTTGCTAGTTTCAATTTATATATAAGCTCAACCATGCTAAATGAAACTGAAATGAAACTTAAATGCAACATACTTGAATTTGAATTACATTATATTTAACATACACTACCGAATTTTTCAAAAAAGTATGAATTTTTATCATAATTTTTAAAATACAATACCATATTTTTCAAAAATATGAGTTTATACTGAATTTTTTTGAAAAACTTGGTAGTATTAATTCTTTTTTTCTTGCTATCAAGTTGAACTATTAGATTTTTCAAATGAATCAGAAAATTACAAAATATATCGACTTTTTAATTGCATTACTGAATTTTTCGTTCACTATTTTTAGTTAAACTTTGACAAGAGTATTTTTACCATTTTAAAAAGGATTAAATATGTTTTTAGTCCCTGTAAATATCTCAAAATCTAGTTTTAGCCCCTAGAACTTTTTCATTCAAAGAATCGTTCTCATTAAGTTTTTCGTCTATATTTTTAGTCTTTGTCGTCTATTCCACTTAACAGAATCCTATGTGGACGCTGATTTGGAAATTTTTTTTTAATTTTAAAAATATGTGTTGTTGATTAAGAAGATGCCACATATTTATGGTATGCTAAATAAATAGGTAAATTTGAAAACCATAAATTAAACTTTCACTTTTTCGTGTTCAAGTAGAGGTCCTTTCTCAAAAAAGTTTCCCTTTCTTATTCAAGCTAATGCTAATTTCTTATAGTTTGTTCAACATAGTAGCAGTAACACATTGTGTATTTTCATAGTTGTGGTCCCTCGACATTGAAACTACATAGGTAGGTCCACATGTTTTAACTTTACATTCTTTTTTATTGAGTTTTGGTCTAGGGCTTGTCTTTTACTTGCAATGTATTTAGTTAATAGGGTTTTCTGCATACAAGTGTGTTTTGTGGGTCCATTGTTGACCATCCTTTTCCATCAATTATGTAGACATGAGTGTCTTTAAGGTAGTATTTTATACAAAGGGATATTTTGTAAAATACTCAATGTTAAAGTATGAGGATGGGGAAGTTTACGCATTTAATGGTCAAGATTGTGATTGTTAGTCCTTTTTTGAGGTGTGTGATTTAATTAAGGGAAAGGATTCTGGGTTTGAATACAATAATGTTAGAATGTAGTGGAAACATGGTGATGGTACTTTAGAAACTGATCTAAAACCATTTAGGGATGATGGTGATGCATTTGAGCTAGCTGTCTTTGTTCAAGAATGTAAAGGTGATGTTGAAATATACACTGAGCCTAAACTAACTATAGGGAATGCAACATTTATGGAGAATGCAAGAAAGAGGAATAAGGGGATAATATGTGAAGATGATGTTGAGTCATGTACTGGTTAGGATTCTAGTGATGAGTTAGTGAATGATATCAACTTTGAAGATAGTGAAGAAGAAAGGATGAATGGTTTCGATGAGGGTTTTGATGAAGCTTTTGGTGGTCAGCCCACAAACATACCTGCTGCAAATGTTGTAGGCTCTAGTGAGGCAGTGAAACAAATTTTTATTACACCAGAGATGAGTAAGGAACATGTAATTGAAGATGAGTATATGAATGATGAGCTTGATAGTGGTGCTGAAGATGACAGTGGTGATAATAGGCTAAATGTTGATATGTTCAATGAGGAAGGTGGGAATACAAAGGAATGTAAGTTCAATATGGGAATGGAATTTTCTTCATTAAAGTAGTTCAAGAGTGCTATTTTGGAACATAATGTATTGAATGAGAGGGATGTCATATTTGAGAAAAATGATACAGTGAGATGTAGGGTGGTCTGCAAGGAAAAATCACAATGTAATTACATTGTGTTGTGTAGTAAAGTCTTAACATCAACAACATTTAGAATTAAAACCTTATATGCTAAACATAAGTGTGGAAGACAATTTTTGAACAAGAGTGTCAAAGCTGATTGGGTTGCAAAAGTAATTGTTGATATGATGAAGAACAATAACAAAAAGAAGTTGAATGATGTAATTGTAGATGTTAGGGTGAGGTATGCTACTAAAATGTCTGGTTGTAGGGCATTTAAGGCAAGACAGATTGCCAAAAGGATAGTGGAGGGAGACTCTAGCAAATAATACAGTCTGTTATGGTCATATGGGGCTGAATGAGAAGGGCCTCACCGTGAAATACCTTCAAGATGAACATTCAATCTCCAAGTCCAAGTTTATTACCAAGGTTTGAAAGGTGTTATATGTCCTTTGATGGAACAAAGAAAGCTTTGAAATATGGTTGTAGGCCATTTATTGGACTAGATGGATGTCATCTAAAACACATGTATGATGGGGTATTATTAATAGTTGTGGGAAGAGATCCCAATGACCAGTATTTACCTATTGCAGTTGGATTTGTAGAAACTGAGTCAAATTACACTTGGAGTTGGTTTATGCAGCTACTTCTTGAAGACATTGGTGAAAGAATGTGGTGTTTCATATCTGACCAACAAAAGGAATGTAAACTTCTTGTTCTATTTGGTTTATTAGATGTTATATTCATTGCTTGCAAAATGAACTGATTTACTATTTTTTTCAGGGTCTTGTGCAGGTGTTTAAGGAGCAATACCCAACATTTTGAACATAGGTTTTGTGTGAGACATTTGTATGATAACTTTAAGAAGAGGTTTGGAGGTGGTACCCTATATAAGGATCTCATGATGGCTGTAGAAAAGGCAACACATCTTGAGGCTCATGAACAATACATGTAGAAAATTAAGAAGGTCAGCAATGATGCTTATGAATGGTTAGAGGCAATTCCAAAAACAAAGTGGTGTAAGCATGCATTTCCTTTGTATTCTAAGTGTGGTGTGTTGATGAATAATTTAAGTGAATCCTTTAATGCAACTATCGTGCTTCAAAGGGACAAACCAATTATAACTATGTTTGAGTGGATTAGGTCTTATCTTATGGGTGGACTCATGACTATAAAAACAAAGGACATCAAGGGGCCTGGAAGACACCTTGAAGATTCAATTATACTCACTGAAGAGGATACCTCAAAAGAACCAATCAAGAGGGGTAGAAAAAGTAGGGACGAAGTTTAAAAAGGCTTGACTTAATGAGGATGGAATTTGAAGACTTTGAATTTTATGTTGTATTTCTTAGTAGTGACTTCTATTTTTGCAAACTTTAAGTTGTATCCATAAGTGTATTTTGAAGACTTTGAATTACTATGTTTTAGAGTTATTCTGTAATGTATGAGCATATTGACTTGTCATTTTGTTTAGACTACAATCTAAGACCATGTATTGGATCATTTTAGGTATGTTATTTTAAAGAATCTATTTCATGCCAGTTTGCTGTCAGATTGTTTGTTAATATGCCAATGTTGTTGGCTATAGTATGCCAAAATTGAGGCAAAGTATGTCAAATTTTAGAAGTCACTATGCCAAAATTTAGTCATTAATCATAGTGATCAAACACAATTCCATTACATTGATGTAACACAATTCAATTAGAAACAGTTTGAAAGAGATTCATTACATTCATCAAACACAATTACATTAGAAACAAGTTGAAACACATTTATTACATTGATCAAACACAAATACATTGTACCAAATTTTGGAAACACAATTCCATTAGAAGCAATTTGAAACACAGTCATTACATTGATCAAACAACCTTACTTCAACTATTACATTTCGTTATTAGGTATACATTATCATAAAAGAAACTACAAAACAGAAAAGCTTGATTTTTCCAGCACATGCCTCTTATCTCAATTTTGCTTGCAGCTTCATATTCTTCTTCTTGGAACCTTCGTACAACTCCCTCAGCAGTTCAACCGTCTCCAATTCCTTCAGCTTGTAATTTTCTACCTGTTCAACACCATTAACATCTTCTTCAGCCAAACTTCATCCCATATAAATAAATCACATGTTTCTTCACTCTGCAAAAATAGGCATCTCTAGAAAAGTCTGCCTTTATTGCAACCGTTCTTGCAGACGTATGAAACCATACGAGTTTCACAACCGCAATTTCTTCCTCGACGACATCTCACCGAGGACGAAGAAATGCTCTTGGATTTCGTAGCACTTGTTCTCGAATATGACATCAATCTTTCTTTGATGATAAAGTTTTGTCTGCAATTAGATCACAAACGAAGAAGAAGAAGAAAGACGTCATAAAATTAAAAGGGGGAATGGAAAGAGGATGAAGACGAAAGGGAATTAAGTTACAATTCTAATTACACAAAGGTGTGACAAGATCAATCTGCTGACTTGTAATCCATTTACACACGTGGTAATCACTAATTGTCCAGTTAATTAAAAAATATTTCAAATCAACATCCACGTATAATTTTCTTAAGTGAAATAGACGACAGAGACGAAAAATAGAAATAAAAAACTTTAACAGAACGATTTTTTAAACAAAAATATTCTAAAGACTAAAATTAGATTTTGAGATATTTATAAAGACCTATAACATATTTAATCATTTTTAAAATATATGGAGGTTTCAAATTAAACTTAAGAGGTAGAAAAAAAGATTTATTTTGGTTCATATTGTTATAACTTTATGACATCTTATTTTAAAATTAAAAAAAAAAATCAAGAATACACGTCTTTCCACATAAAATATTTGGAGAATTTGGAATTTCCCAAACCAGAATGTAGACTTTGTAGACTTGTGCCTAAATACCAAATCCTAATAGAAATAGTAGTAACACAAAACAAACAAATTAACCTTTTTCATTTCATTGTAATAATCAATCAATGAACGTTGACAAAATAGTGAGCAGTGAAATGGGTTAGTTATCTTCTCTGCAAAATTTCAACAATTCAAACATGATTAACACTGTCACACTTCACCCAACTACCCGTCTTTCTTCTCTCCCTCTTCCTCCTCACCTCACACACTTCCCACCCATTTCCCATTCTTCTCCTTTTCTTCTCCCCAAACTCAAACTCAATCTCAAACCCATTTTCTCATTACGCTCTCCGTCTCGCCGGAAACTTCCGTCTGCCACCATGCTCCACCATGACCCTGTTGTCTCTGATTTCATTGCAACTGCTATCTCCGGTGTTGTTGCCACCTCTTTTCTTAGATTGTGGGAAGAAACCGCAAAACGTGGACTTTTTGATCAGGTAGGTTTTGATTGTTTGCTTTTGTTGTTTCTGTTATGAGGGGTTGTTTTGATTTAGCTCAACATGGAGGTGAACTGTGAAAGCTTGTGTTTTTTTATGGGGTTGTTGGAATTGGTAATTTGAATTTGTTGTTTAGGTTATGTCATTGACGGAGAGTTTGGTGGAACCAATTTACAGCTTATAGCAAAAGTGCTTATCAAAATAAGCACTTATCATAAGCTCGCATAAGCTATTTTTATAACAAAAGATAAAATAAATTTAAATTGTTTTTATATACGTTATAAGTTATTTTCATTAGATATCTAAAGAAGATTTTTTAAAAACAAGTTCAAAAACATTTATGAAAAATGTCGTAAGCCGCTTTGATTAAGTCTCCCAAACAGTGTCACAAAACTTATGGCAGTAGATAAGCTCAAATAAGCCCATCCAAACAGGCCCTTAGTGCATTGTTTTTTGTATGTTACAATTATATAGTTACTGATTTTCTGTTTTTCTAAGTGTATATCTTGTTCACGTATGCAGAATGCTCATTAGCTTTTCCTTGTGTTTAGAAATTGAATAGGAAACTTGTGCACATATCCATTGGGCTGGTATTCATGTTCTGTTGGCCACTATACGGGTAATTGTGTAGTTTATAAATTTACAAGCCTTTCAAAGTTCTCTTACAATGTCTTTTTGTTGAATGCCCTTTCTTGTATTATTGCAGTACTAGTGAATGGGGACCTTACTTCGCGGCTTTTATTCCGGGAGTGAATATACTTCGGATGCTTGCTATTGGACTTGGAGTTTGGAAAGATGAGGGCACTGTGAAATCAATGAGCAGATTTGGAGATTATAGGTTGCGAAAATGAATACATTAATGCCAGTGAGAATATTTGAACATGTGATGAAAGTCATGAAACTATAATAGTATCAATTCTTGCTACTGACTGATAATTGATTACATGTCTTGACATTAATTCTTCACTTGGTCTCATCTCACGTTTTCTTCGCGCCAGGGAACTTCTTAAAGGACCACTGTATTATGCTGCAGCTATTACTTTCGCATGCATAATATACTGGAGAACTTCCCCGGTTTCCATTGCTGCAATTTGTAATCTGTGTGCAGGAGATGGTAATAATGCTTCTCAGCCAATTACTTTTAGTCCCATTGACTGCAATTAGGCAATGTTTTACACATTTTTTTAGTTGTGACATAAGTTAAATATTCCAAATTATTTAGCTGTTGGGTGAAAATACATAAACGATTGAGTACAAAAGCCTTATCTTGTGATTCCCCAGACGGACATGATTTTATGGTTGTTGTTAATTTAATATTTCAGGTATGGCAGACGTCGTTGGAAGGAGATTTGGTGGTAAAAAGATACCTTACAACCAAAACAAATCCTATGCTGGATCGATTGCAATGGCATCTGCTGGGTTCTTGGCTTCTATTGGGTAACTATATGTGAACCTCTATTGCTTTCTTTCGAATTTCCCTTCCACGTGATAGCCTACTATGTGTGTATTTGGTTCTGCATCCGTGAAAATTAATTTTGATTAAAAGTGATTTGTGTTTGAACACATTCACTTAAAAGTGAGTCAAACTATACATTAATGAGCGAAAATCAATTTTACAGACAAAAGCTTCAAATTTGACCTTATTCAAAAGTAGTGTTGTTAAATGGCGGTCATGGTCAGACCATGGCGTGGTGGGATGCCCGCCATTGACGCTGTCATAGGCTGCAATGGCATGTGTTTATAAGGCGGATCTTTGTCCTTCCGCCATATTCTGCTATCGGCCATTAACAACACGGAATAAAGTGAAACCAAACATACCCGCAATCTATTTCCTTATTAACAGTCAGTGGTTTGTCAGGTATATGTGGTATTTTTCGTCATTTGGATACATGGAGGGAAGCTGGAACATGGTTATAGGTTTCTTAGTTGTGTCTGTGATCACGGCAATTGTGGAGTCCCTTCCTATCAGCACAGATCTTGATGACAATCTCACAGTTCCACTCACTTCCATATTGGTAGGAAGCATGATCTTCTGATATAGATCATATTGTAATCATAGGAATTTGTTCCAATTTAGTTAGAAAATGTTTTTTTAGTTTGTCTTGTTAACAGTTAAACAGTTAAACAGACATGTGATTGTAATGTATTGTTAACCATCATTCAGCAGTTAACATTTCTTAGTTTGGCATGCCATATTAGAATTGTAACCATTGAATTTTCTTGCATTTTAACTTACAATTCATATGGCTTTTTTCCTATTACATGTCACGTTATATCTATCTACTTTTGTCTTATTGCACATGTATGAATAAAAACGAAGTTGGGTACATATCTAAAAGCATATTTTTTGAGAGAACTTTCCAAAATATACTTTGATTGATATTGAAAGTACATGTGACATAATTTCTCAACATGGATAAATTTAGTATGGACCACCATTTGATATAATCCAGTGTGATTGTGAAATTGACTACATGCATTTTTTTTACATCTCAAATGAACGGTTGAGATCATCTTCAATGTATTTTATTATTGTGTAATCTATGTCATTCAATCTGAAATTAACTACCAACATTATAATCAACGTGAAATCGCATGGAATCACTACTGCAAATGTCTAGGGTTAGGTTTGAGGTTAATGTCTATGGACTATGGGGTAGATGTGACTACATAGGATACCATCTTCCGTGGTGCGGCATTGAAAAGAAAACTAATAATCTTGTACTTGAATCTTGTCTTCAGATGAGTACAATAATGGTGTCCTGCTGGCGATGAGATGTGCAACGGCCAACGAGGCTTTTGTGTTTAGATATGTAAAAAGTGAGGGTGCCTTTAATTTGTACTTTATTGTGATAAAGGTAAAGCTATCCATACCACAGAAAGTAAGTTGCATAAAGTCTAAGTTCATAAGGTTCAAGAAGAGTTAATATGTTTTACATATATCTATTCTCAACGGCTATATAGTACAAGATTACATGGAAGACACAATAGTGAAACATATTACACAATGGATCAAAATCTTTTGATGTATCTCTCTTCAACGTCTCTTGTACTATGAAGAAACAAAGATACTTGTTAAAGTTATCTCTTCCAACGGCTAATTTTCTGCAACTGCTATATAAGCTATTGAATATTCAAACTGAAGTCTTCAAACAAGGGAGAAATTAAAAGGGAAAATTTAGAAGGAAAGCTAAAAAGGATAGAAGTGTTCTACACTTCTGCCTGGATGGAAGAATAACAAGATCATACAATGAGCAACACAATCGAGTATGCAGATTTTCTGTTATATTTTGTAAATTGTAATAAGCCTTAAGAATTCTTAAACATTGAATATCTTATAAATCGTAAGTGCTTAGAGGTCTTTGTTAAGGTGATTACCATGCACCTCTGATAATTGTATAAAGTACACCTTGTTCCCTATTCTGCTGAACATGTTGTTTAGCAGTTTAGATAAAGTCTCTTACTATGTGCTTGAGCAGCAAAGTCTCTTAATAATAAGCTTGAGCCAAGTAAGTCTTCTGCTATGTGTTAGACCATTAAAATTCTTGACCAATTGTTGATTGTGCAGAAGTCTTGAATCTGTGGGATTTAAGCAAGGAAGTCTTGGACTGTGAGTCTAAGAAAAGAAGTCTTGGGCCTGAGGGGCTTGAGTAGAAATCTTGGGTTCGTGGAACTTGAGCAGGAAAGTCTTGGACTGAGGGTATGAGCAGAATTCTTGAGTATGAGGGACTTAAGCAAGGAAGCCTTGGGTTCGTGGAACTTGAGCAGGGAAGTCTTGGACCAAGGGTCTGAACAAAAGTATTGAGTCTGAGGGACTTGAGCAAGGAAGTCTTGGGTTCGTCGAACCTGAGCAAAAGTCTTGGACCTAACGGGTTTAAGCAGGAAGTCTTGGGCTGAGGGTCTGAGCAAAGAAAAGTCTTATGCTTAAGTGTGTAAGCGTTTGTAATCATGTTTTTACTATAGTGAAAATTTCTTATGCTGCAAGGGGACTGGATTACTCTCATTTGGGAGGAACCAGTATAAATCTCTGTGTGTTATGTTATTATTTATCTACTTCTGTTAACATTCGCTGCAACGTATAATCAAAATATGAACACTAATCTAGATTCTAAACTCTGATCAGATGCAAACAAAAGAAAATGGAAAACATAATTCAACCCCCTCCCCTTCTTGCGTATTTTTCTCACCTTCAAATGGTATCAGAGTATGGTTTGTGCATAACACTTAACAATGATGCATATAATGATCGAATGAGAAAAATATGTATGTTAAAGACCTTCCTTTAAGAAGGAGTCAAGTGCCACATGGAAAATATTACATTGCTTTTTCTACCATATTCAAAGGGTGATTCCGGTGAATTTAAATGATGGAAGAGCAAAATGTATTATTAATTCATTAGTCTTGATAAAGGGTTTTGATGAAGGTCTATAGAATACCCTTGAGAAAGGTATTAATATAGAAGTTGATAATGTAGGTGTTGCGGTTAGAGTATGATATCAAATTATTAATTAATTTGAATCGCATCTTTAGTTCACAACCGCTCTTTGATTTATCCGAAGGAAAAGGTCAAAAGAGGAAAACCTAATTTTGCATCGTAAAGACAATGCGGGGAGAGATCTAGGTAAGTGGTTGGTTAAGCTTAGGGAAGGTACTAACACCCTAAACTTCTGTAGTACTCTACAGGAACCTTTTGTTTATTGTATGCTTTTTTTATATTTTATCATCTGTTTTAATATATATTGAGCTAAGGGATAGAGTGACCTAAAGACCTAAGGGTTAGTCCTAAGTTTACTCGGCAAGACGTCGCATCTTGTGCCTACATATCCTGACGGGAATGGAATCAGAGTAATTGTAGTTCCCCTCGAAAGGGAGGTTAGAAACGTCTTGATTGTGGTCAAGGTTTCAAGGGGTGTAAACGTCTCTTAAGGATACGCTTACGTGGAGTCTTAAAACTCCTATTTGTAGGTTGAATTTGTTAATTGAAATTAGGGTTGAAATTAGGGATTCCACGGCAGAAAACCCTAACAGAGTACGGCGACTCTTTGACCTAATGCTAGGGTAAAAGGGTAAACTTGTCCACGGCGGGACACCTAGTCAAATAGGGTTTTGAAATGGTCAAAGATTAGGGTTATTGGCTCGGCGGTCAAAATATTATACCTAATCCTTCGGAGGGGATTTTAACGGCAAATCATGCAAGATATAGCAAATTATTATACGGCAGAAATAAAGTACGGAAAATAATGAAAGCGATAAAGAAAGCATCGTGACGATCACTCACGTAAATTATAAATCCCCAAAAAATGCGAAATAAAAAATAAACCGCGACCATGGCCTCGCGTAAATTACATCCATGGGACAAAGACGAACAAATAAAATAATAATAAGCTGAAACAAACAAATTAAGGAGTGTTAGACGAAAAAGAAAAAGGACGGGAACGTTAGGAACTTCTTTTTTTTATTTATTTATTTAAAAGAGAATAATGGATTTCGAATTTTTACTAAAAACAAATGTGTTAATTTCATGGCTATTTTAAGATCTAAATTTAGAAGAGTTCATAACTTTTTGTGAAAAATAGAGTCTTAAATTTTATTATAAAAAAAATGAGTTTAAATTTTTATTATGAGAAAAAATAAAAAAGTTTTATTATGAAAATATAGTTTTTATTTTATTATGAGAAAAAATAAAGTTTTTTTTAATGAAAAACAGAGTTTTTATTTTAGATTTATTAAAAGAAAAAGATTAATTAAGAAAAATGTTATATTATTTATTACTATTATTAAATCATAAACTAATAAAATAATGAAATAATTAATAATTAATAAAAATAAAGAAAAAAAAGAAAAGGAACCTAATTAAAAGGGGAGGGGGAAACAAATCATTTGTCATTATAAGAGGTTTCTCATCTTCTTCATTCTCTTTGTCCCACGCGGCGGCCATTAAAGCTCCAAAGAGCTTTTCGCTCCATTTTTCCAAAGTTTCTCTCATCTCTTTCGTGTTGCATGTGCGGTTCCTCTCCCGCTGAATGTGTCCCTGAAAAAAAAACCATGAAAACAAAACCATAAATCAATTTTGATAAATTTCTTACGGAATAACGGTCGGGTTTGAAGCTTCTATCGAACGATGGTGGTGAATCTTTGATCTTGATGATGAAGCCTTGAAGTTTTTTTCAAAAATCTCTCCGCTTCTGATAAATCGTGAGAACGGCCGCCGTTTTTTCTTTTGTCTCCTTCTCCCCTTTTCTCAAATGCAACTCATGTTTATATAGGTAACAAATTAGGGTTAACTCTAACCTAATGCCCACTTTAAAGCCCAAAGAATTAGTCAAAACTAACTAAAATTTAAACAAATTAAAACAAACTTAAAACCCTATTTATTTACTAAACATTAAAAATACTATAAAAAGAATAAAATATTTTCTAATATTTATAATTTTATAATTTTTGGATGTTTTTATGAATAATATGAAAAAAAGTGAAAAAATAATATTTTTTAAAAAATAATTTAAATAAAATACGAAAATAATAATTAAATAATAAAAAAAAACTATTTTTGTTATTTTTTTTTATGAAAATAGAAAAGTTAGAATAAAAATAAAAGAAAAACAAAAAGTGAAGAAGGTGGGATTCGAACTCTCGACCTATCACACTCACAACTCCTTACACACGATATCTTGCCAATTGTGCCATTTTATTCATTCAAAATAAAGTGGCATTAGAAACTATGTAAAGGTAGGACAAATTTGGGGTGCAACAGATGCCCCTATTTAAATAGCTTCACCGGATGATTTGAGCAGCGGAGACTCGAGAAATCGCGGTGAAAGGAATTTAAATACAGATAACCGGAAATTTGTCCCCTAGATGCAGTGATATGCAATGATATGGACAAAATAACACGAACTATAATGCTGACAATGCCATGAATCTAATATGATGCGTATGATGGAATGATGAATGCAAGGATGCAGACGACACGACGTCATAGGGGACAACGCAGTGAAGAATTGCACTGGGGAAGAAGACACGCGATGGTGACAAG